CCCCCCGCCTGAACAGCCCGTTCTCAGGGTGACAAGGTGCGCTACCCCCGCCCAGCCCGCCCAGGCGCCGCCCGGCGTACCGGCGGCGGAGGCGGAGAAACGCCGGGCGGCGGCGGCAGACCAGCGGCGGGGTCTCTCCGCCGCTGGCACCGGCCTGCGCGTCCTGGCGCAGGTGCTGGACGAGATCGAGCAGATCGGGGGCGGCAACGTGGCGGTCGTGACGAACGAGCCGGCTCTTGTGGACCTGCTTTCGGTGAGTTTTTCTTTGTTTTTGGAGATCCGGGCTGTGTACACATAATCGACCGCCTAAGAATCAATAAGCACACCCACGTTCCTACCTTCGGAATTCACATCCGGCGGTGCCTTTGTTTCTGCTGTTGCTGCTGCATACGGATGCGTACAAGCATAGGTATGTATGACGTGTGTATTTTTTTGTTGATATTTTTTTTTACCTGGTTTTGGCAGGAACATGGGAATTGAAATCAATATAGGCCAGGGAGAAATGCTTTTGAAGCCAGGAAATCAAGATTTGACTCTGCTGCCCCCCCATTTTTTTTTCCTTTATCAACAAGAGCTCGATATCGAATACTGATTTGATTTTTTGGCATCTCGTTTTTAATTTTCCCGGCCTTACGAAAGTTTTCCATCTACATATGGGGCGTTTTTACTTGTCTGTCGGCGATACAGTACTTGACGGGTCAGACACTTTTCACGAAGATGTTTTTTTCGTTTAGTTGACCTACACCGACCTGTTTCACCCATTAACTTGCTGAAAGTTGTGGGCTCACACACATTTGAAGCGTTTAGTGGTGACGAAGGAGTGCGGCGGGTTGACCACCGAGGATCATTCAGCCATTTTCATCATGTCGCTAGTCACATACCATAGGGCATTGTGGGCACCAGATGTGCCAGATCCCACGGGACCTCGGCAATCGTAATAGTCCACTGACCTGCCCCCGCGTTTCGCACCGGCTTACCCCCCCCCCCCCCCCCCCCCCCCCCCCCCCCCCCCCCCCCCCCCCCCCCCCCCCCCCCCCCCCC